TTTTAAATGGGGGGAAGATTGTGGGGGGGGGGGTTGGGGGGGGGGGGGGGGGCACGGACATTGGAGGTTCAACGCTTTGCCTGATGAGGCTTGATGCAGTGGTCGCCACAGGTCAAAAAGGGAAGGGTAGACAAAGAGAAAACTTAACGGCCATCTTCAAGGTCTTTCCGGACTCTTGTGAGTCTCAGGACTCTCACTTGCTCCGCCTTGCCTTTCGGCCAACTAAGCGCCAAATCAACCATCTTATGTAGACACAAGTGCAATTTACAGAGTCACTCTGTGAGCCTCCGCACGCTGTGGCAATTGCCAGGAATACACTCAATCCAGGGTTTACATTCCACCGCACAGGTACCGTGATAATCCCTGTTCGGAACCAAACGCCAACACCACCACTCGCGGGAGGTGCTGTCCCTTAATTATCTCGCGCTGTGTGGGAAGAAGACGACTTGCTCTCAATACCGATGTCCCTGGCACAGGAGGCATATGCCTACGATTGTGGTGTTTCGTTTGTGTAAGCGCCCAACAAAAAAGTAAGTGATAACCGGAACAGTTCAACCGTGGGTGCATCTCAACGACCACGACTGCTACTGACAAGCAAACGTTTCTGCAGGAATATGCGCAGCAGAGAGCAGGGCGAACGCCTAAGGGTAGCTGCCGTACTGAATGGTTGCCCGTATGCCCCCTATTCGATGCTGTACAGCTTTGGCAGGCAGCAGCGCACCTATCAGCTACAGTAAAGCAGCAAGCAGTGGTACATCAGAGAGGCCAGACAGGCCAACCGTAACAGCAACAGCAGCGCAAGCAGTGGTAGGAGGAACGACCGTGGAAAGAGAGGCGGTGCTGAAGCGATGAGACTCGCGTATGTTACATATGCGCAGCGTCTCTGTGACAGACCCCTCCTTCCCCTCATTACAAACTACCGCTCGGCACGAAAATGTGAACCTCGCTCCCTCGCTCGGTGTTCCTTCCACACCGACAACAAGACGACGACAGCAGGTTGGACCAGACCGGGAGGTGAGCGCGATAGCACCGCTGCGCCAAAGTCTTTAATCCAAGGTGAAAAATTGAAAGCGAGTTTCTCTCACGAGTGGAGTCCCGGCCTGGACATTCCCACAGCAGTGGGCGTCCTCGAGAAGACGCCAACTGCTGTGACAACTTCAGCAGCTGAGGTCACACCATTGGGCTATTATTGTAGCCAGCGCTGCCTAGTCCAATGGTTTGAGTTCGGCTTCTGAAAATGAAGTGAAAGTGTCGAGGGAATTGACTATAAGTCCAATGGTTAGATTTCAGCTTCTATAACAGAGGTGAAAGTGCTGGACCATTGACTATTGTTCAATCGTTTGAGTTCGGTTCCTAATAAATGCCCAAACGTGTGTTGCTGGGGCCATTCGGCCAGACGCTGCAGCTGCGGTAAAAAAAAAACGCAAACAAGGCTGGGCCCAGGCCCCATTCTCGATATCCTGGATGCGCCCCCACATAACCAGTTTCCCGAAGTTCGGGTCTACAGCAAAGTAGCGCACACCATTACTACTCAGAACATATACGTGCAACCTAAGAACGACTACCCCGATCGAGGTATAGCACAGTTGGCGAAGGGGATGTGTTGGAAGTCTGCCCGTGAATGGGGAAAAGAAACTGCTGAATACCTGTATTTTGAGTTAACACGTTGGGTTATTAAACAGCAGTTATGCCAGCTGGTCAGCTGCAATGGACGACCCGCAGTTAGTTGGGCCTGTCGCGGCGCGTGCAGAAGTGGATCGATCCTGAGCGGTCCGGACCCAGATTGGCGGACTTTTAAGACCACGCAGGTGCAGCCGTACAGACAACACGGTCACAGCTACATAGATCTGGGCATGCCAACAACGCGCAACCAGTTCCACCATGATCTCTCTACACACTCAGTGCTGACTAAACCCGATTTCCAACAAAAGTGGGTTAGACTACTATTGGAGTCAGCGATGAGACTAGTCGGCTCTTTACAATAAGTAGTCTAACGGTTTCATTTCGGTCTCTTGAGACCTCCGCACTGCAAAGGGCCCACTGTGTCACCCGGCGTGTCTCGAATTTTGACAGGTGAGTGTGTTTTTCTTGGTTGGAGAAAGAAAAGGGCGTGTGGAGGTAGGCCGCATGATATCTCTCGGGTAAACACGAAGCCTGGCCCGCTGCTCTGCGCTCTGCGTCACGAGTACCCTACGTTCGGATATTGTTGCGCACCACTGCCCAATTCACCTGTAGATCTAATAAGTAGCTGGCATCACTGGTATAAATCATCAGTGTATAGACTTAAAAAGACTCGAAATAAGTCCAGTACCCAGCCGGTTTCCCTCCACTCACTGAAAAGACTCCACCACATCCCGTTCGACTGTGGGTATATCTCGAATGGGTAGTCTTTCTGTGTGTGTTTTTATTATTCCTTCAATCTAATAAGTACCACTGGTACGTGTCTCGTGTGATGTATATACGTGTGTTTGCGTGAAATGCTGGGTGCTGCAGCAGTACTTAGTACCTCACGAACACGTGCACGACACGCAGGACTCAGTCACTGCTACAAGACAACCTGGTGTGCCTGCCTCGTGGGCAGATGATACAGCAGTATGTTGAAGTATCAATGGTGTGTACTCCAGAAATTGCTGAGAGCAGCTGAGTTGCTGAGCGACACAGCCTTCAACTTTCTAGATGCCGCCGGGTCAGGTGGAATGCATACAAGTACGACAAGCAGTACTACAGCAGGAATACATGCGGCTGAGACCTGAGACCCCGACCTTTAACTTGCAGATGTGTGCTGCCCGTGGGGCGTACTCGCGGCCGGGGAGGGGACCACCAATCAGCACGACAATGAGAATGCTTTAGAGCCAAAGCCAGAGGCCAGAGGCCGCGCCAAGCCGGAGGCAGACCTCACCTCTATTTCCCACCCCCCGCGCCAATTTTCCCGTTCTCTCCTTTCTCCCTTCTTCCCGCCCCTCGTCTTCCGCCGAGTGCCTGCTGCTGGGAGCAGTGCTTAGGGAGTGATCTTGCGAAGAGGGCGTGTGCATATACGTATATCCGTATCATGTCTCCATGCCTCTGCTTCTCTGCTTGGCGCATAGGCCCATAGCAGAGGTTATTGCGCCGCGTTTTTCGGCGTAATTGCATTCCTTTTTTTTGACGATCTCCGAAGATGAGCTTTTATGGTACGTAGATCCTTCGTCGATCCTGCTGTCAAAGCGCTCAATTATGTACAACCGCGCTCTCGCCCGCACACATCAACCCTCCCTCCACACTGCGGCCGGGTTTGCTCTGCTGACTTACAGCTTTCGCTCTTCCGTTGGCTAGACTTCGTCGCTATCTTCGATAGCCACTGCCGAGAGGGGCTGCTGCCGCCGCTGCTGCTCTGCTGCTACGGCGACATCACATCGTTTTGTTGGCGCACACAACAAGCGGGTTTGTTTTGGAAGTTTGAAATTTTGATTGTTCACATCTCGGGGCAGCGCAGCGGGAAGGAGCATCAAGGGAGGGAGCGAGCGGCTGCTCGGAAGGTGATCATGGCGGACTGCATGCCCGACTATCCCGTCTTGGGGATGCAAGCCGGAGAAGAGGTGGGTGTGCTCTCTCTTCATTTATCTATGTACGTATGATGACTTTCATGATGCAAGTTACACGGCAGCAACCAACTGGCTGCAGACTCCTCGCCCGAACAGGACTCGTGCCGGAGTCACACACCGCTTGCTACCCACGGCTATTTCCTCTGCCCAGGCTGCAGCGCACGCAGCGTATAAGATCGGTGGTGTCATCCGAGCTAGTCGCGCTTTCGTTAGACCAAAGGCCGGCAGAGGGAATCTCGCTCAGCACGGTGCGATTAGACGGTGCGATTTCGACAAAATATACGCGGGGCGAGGATGGTCTCACCTTGCAACGAAGAAAGAGTGATCCGCACATCGCAGATAAAAAATTATGGAGCCGTTCAGCTGTTGGTGGTATTGTTGCACCTATGACAGGCATGGTCCTATGACAGGCATGGTACCAAAGTGTCATCGTGCCTATGGTTCAGAGCGGTGCCTATACCGCAAGGGCAGCTAGCTGGCTCTGTCTTGTTTGGCCACGCCACAGAGCGCTGCGGGGTTTATTCATTATTCAACGGAACAAATTCTTGTGAATCAATCGTACCCCGGCGGCACACACGAGGCGGGTCAACAATCGCAGCGAATAAGTTATAGATTGGTGTTGTTGTTGTTGTTGTTGTTGTTGTTGTTGTCTTCACGTTAAAAACCGTTCCGATCTCTCTCTCCACCGAGTACCTTCATATGTCCGATACAAGTAGATGGGTGAGCAGCAGCAGCAGCAGCAGCAGCAGCAGCAGCAGCAGCAGCATGAAGAGAACATTTAATTCCACGAACGAATGATGAGTGCAAGGCAAGCACCCGGCTGCAGATATACATGTCCCAGCGGTCATGTCGTACGTGCATAAGAGCGCAACATCAGCTGTCGCCGCGTGGTCAGATCGTGACCGGCAGGGAGAAGAAGACGTGACAGACTGGTCTCTCGCGCATGCAGCTCCACGTTGATTGTTCCAGATGTCCACAGCAAGTCGGCGTGTTCTTTTTGTGGCAACCGCACTCTTTGTGTGTTAATTTTTTTCCAAACAGATGGAATCTTTGGGATCTTTGGTCTCCGCGTCCCCTCGGCCGCTGTTTGGGCTGTAACTACACAACGAAATTGCAACATCACAAGCATCCTTTTGGGCGGTGGTGCCACGCTTGCCTCCCGAGAAAAATTTGGTTCGTTGGATCGACGACACACTGACGAACTCACACGCGCACGCCTTCAGCCGTAGAAACACGCGTTTCGTAGTTTTTTTTTCTTCCGTGAAGATGTAGACTATACCGAATCAAATCGGAAACATCACAAAAGAACGCCTCCTTATTTTGCGTTTTACATCAACCAAGAGTGTCTAGCCGCACGTTGCGTTGTTTGCGGGGAGATACCCAGTATTTATTTGCAGATATTTGTACGCACCAACTACCAACCAACGCACGCACCGTTTTAGACCGACTTTCACACTGACTGCCTGATGATGATCGATTGCTTCACATCCAAGAGGCTACTCTGCTGCTAATGGTGAAAATTTGGCTTTGGCAAGATCTCGTCAGAGCGCCGGCATGATCTGCGGTCAGTTTTCATCTGCATTGGTTGTTGTGGAGCGATCGGATCTTTGGGGGGCATGGTCGTTCGCATTTTTTTTTTCTGGTCTTGTCTGGGGAAGCTAAACCGCTGTGTTCTGAATCCTGTTGTTGGTAACTTGGTAACACATCCATGTGTGGTTCCCGGCATGCACAGAAGGTGCCATGGGTGGTTGAAGGATACAAGCCTTCGAGACCCAATTCTCCTTGAGCCTTCGTCTCTTTAGGGTGCAAATCTACAGCATTGATTGGTTGTGAGATTCGGGGCTCAAGATCTCCAATATTGCCGAAAAAAATCGTGCCAAGAGTATGATTTCCGCCAATACAATTTTGGTCGGCCGTGAGCGCATGCGTGGGGAAATAAACGCAAGCGTGTTTACATGGTTGGATGGGGGCAGAGACATACAGCAGTGGTACTGTCGTCAAGACAGCGAGGAACAGAATGGATGGGTGGTGTCATATTCGGAATAGAACAGGAGAACGCGATCAGTTTTCTCATATTCCGCAATTACTTCACTGCACCGGGCTTGCCACGAGAAGAAAAGACATCCCTTCCTTCACTGCTGCTGCTGTGGCACTGTAATATCTAGACGGGTAGTCTTATTGTGAGTAGTGTATACTTTACTTTCTCTGAAGAAGACGGCCCACTGTTTTTTTCTTGTCGATGCGACGCCGTCGCCAGCCGCAGCCTGGACCAGGCGGGGGAACATATCAAGGCGCAGTAGCACCACTCATCACCCGTTGTAAATGCAGATGTATGTGGTGCTTTTTCTCTCTAGGTTTGGTTGTTCTTTTGTCATACGGTAGGTCGCGCACCTGGTCCAGCACACGACAGCAGGGTTCCGTTCCGAGATTAGGAAAGCACCGCGCTTGCCCCTGACCGGCATGTTGAACTTCATTAATTGATTGCTGCGGAGGACAGACTACTGGAGTAGTGTTTCTCAACTGGTGGGCTGCGTACACACATGTCAGCCATACACTCGTGGTCCCGGTTTTTTAGCGCTTTCCTGCTTCGCGGGATGCCCTGAATTTAATAACATATCGTGACACGTCCGCCCCGCCGTTTGGCGGCAACCGCTACATGCACCGATCGGTTATCTGTTGTGATTTTTTTGCGGAGATCCAGCCCGCGCTCCGCCTGCACACACTCACAGCACACAGCACACAGCGACATCGGCCAGCCGGTTAGCGTGGTCGATGCCGATAACAAAAAGCACTAAAGCAAGGCATACGCACAACACGCGGTGCGCGGATGGAGAGTTGTGCAAGCTTCCAGATGCGGCACCGAGTCCAAGCGGCGCGCGCGATTGGAAAGGAAGGAGGCTGTGGTTGCCGCATGCACGGCATGTGTGGGGAGGGGGAGGATCCGGATGGAAACGAGATGCACCGCATTTGCCACCAGTTTGCAACCAAGAAGGTGCCGAGTTTCCCTCGCGTCTCCAATCCACCCAGGCGCAAAGAGGTGGAAGGTGGTTAGCTTTCTAGCACCTGGCGCGTGGAAAAAAACCGACTCGCGCTGCAGCTCAAAAACAGCCCCGCACGCGGCCCAACTTTGGCCTGAAGCTTAGGTTTCGAAGCTCTTTTGACCGGAAGGTACTGCTGTATCGCACTGAGAAAAACCTCAGCCCGCAGGAAGAGATCGCGAAAGCTTTGCGAAGGACGCGAATGACGAGCTCGTACTTGGAGGGGCTTGACCCCTCCGACGACAAGCTAGAGCTAGAGCCTGAGCTAGATGGCACGGCAGAAGTTAACGGTGCGAAGGGCGGGGGGGGGTGATGGCGACGCAGGGGTACTCGGAGCTATCGTCGGAGTCTTGCCAGCTTGAAGAGTGCGCGGAGTCGTGTGGCGTGAACGAGGCAGCGCACTATCTTCGCAAGGCAAAAATAGTGTTCCCCGCAGCACACGCCGCCCTACCGGCGCGCCAGGCAGATATCAGAAAGATGTTGGGTAAAGCATGGTCGGTACACGCGGCAAATAGCAGAAATGAGATGCTCAAGCACGTAGTTGGTTTCCATTGCGTTGTCACGAATTTGCCCCACTTTCGTTATAGACGGGAATGATTTTCCAGTCTTGAGGGGGCATACGTGTACAGTCCAGAAGGGAAAACAAGCTTGGTGCTTTCGTGAATTGAAATGCGCTAGTCACTTGCTGTATTGTCCTCCTTTGGGTCGTTACTTCTTCCTCTGCACCCTTCGTGTGACTGCCGCAAATGCGACACATGCATGGCCCTGTCAAGATGAGCTTTCGACGCTGCGTCTTGTTGGGTTGGGCAAAATGGGCTTTTCCCGGCTTAGCGGTTCATAACCGTCATTGCCCCTCTCGGTGTAGCGGTTCATAACCGCAACGAGGTTTGGCGGTGATGCCCTGAACAATAGCGGTTATTAATTTCGTTACACTATGGAACGCTAAACTGGGACCACGACTTTAAAGCCGGCATGTTATCACTCCGTCCCGGCATTGCAGGGATGCGAGGTCCACGGTGTAGGTCTAACGGCTACGGCACGCGTTTATGTACAAGAATACCCCCCCCCCCATGCGCCTACAAGTTGATACGTACACAGCTGTGCTTTGACGCGAGTGCACCTCGGAGTTTATCTTCCCAAGCCCTCACTTCCGGTTCGTGGGTACCCGAACACAACGGGCGGGCCTGAGGGGTGCTCCCGCTTGTGTACCCGGGCCGAAAGACGCTGTACAATACCCTAGGCAACGGAGGTGACACCGAAACGACAAAACACGATTTGCGGCAGGAGCAACAACAATAGATACCGGCGACGAATTGCGACGAATTGACAGCAAGGGCATTGATGTCGAAAAACAAGAGCAGCCACGCCATCAACGATTATCGAAAATCAAGAGCAGGAGGAGAAACGTCAGGAACTACTGTACCGCTCTCGAAAGATCTCGAGACACCAATGTGCATCGTTTGTTGGAGAATACACCTGCAGTAGCTTCAGAGAGAGACCACCCGTTGGAAGTCTGTCTCTATGTGCATTCATACGTGTGATTGGAAAAGATAGGCGCTCTAGGTCTTATTCTTGGCGTCGTCGGTCTCTCAGCCAAGAGCAACCGCCACATTATCAACGATATCGAAAAAACAAGGGCCAGCGGAAACGACAAGAACTATGTATCTACTGTTGTGACGCTTTCGACAGCGCTCGAGAGACGTCAATGTGCGTTGTTTCTCGGAGAGTACACACAGCTCCAGAAAAAGACCGTCCCTTTGAGGCATTCTTCGAATGCATTATAGATTAACGTTCTTGGTCTTCTTCTTGGCGTCGTCGGTCTCTGCGCCAAGAGGAGCCACGACATTATCAACGATATCGAAAAACAAGATCAAGGGGAGAACTGACAAGAACAATCCACTAACATCCTGTGACGCAAAGCTCTCGAGACATCACTGCTGTGCCTTGTTTGTTGGAAAATACACGTACAATACACCTTCAGAGAGCGAATCCACCCGTTCCGAGGTATGTGTCTGTGTGAACGAAACGATGAACGATATTTCTCGGTCTTCTCCTTTGGCTTCGTCTTGTCCGTTCTCCCTACAGCTCGCGACCATGCTTCGGCTCGTGGCTCTCGTCATCAGCATCTCCGTGCTCTTCCCGTGGCTGAGCTCCGAGCGCCGGGGACGCATGCGGATTTTCTTTCTCCACTGGGCCAGGTGATTGCTTGCGGCTGCTTGCTGTCTGTGGTTGTTTTCATTGTTGTTGGTCGTGTTGTTGTTGTTGCTGTTGTTGGCTTGGTCGTTGGTGTTGTGCGTGTTTTCGCCGTGTTTGTTGTTGTTGCTGTTGATGGTTTGGTTTTGGGTGCTGTGGGTGTTGTCGCCGTGTCGTTGTTGCTGCTGCTGTTTAATCGTTGTTGTCGTTTTCGTGGTCGTCGACGTCGTTGTCGTTGTAGTTGTTGCTGCTGCCGCGTGATTTTGGTTTTCTTGCTGCTGGTTGAGGAGAAACGCTTTGTTACCCTCCCCTTGACACCCGCCTCCCGTGCCTGTCCAGCATATTTTCTTATCGCGTCGTACCCCTCCAATCGGCAGGCAGCACACGCCAATGGTTGGGGTGGCAGGCCGACCCACACAAGAAGGTAGACACATCATTTCGGTGATGGGTGCTAAACAATCGTGTTGCTTGCCCCCCCCCCCCCCCCCCCCCTCCCTTTCCCGTCCCCCCCACGCTTCCCTTAACAATTTTTAAACCGGCTCATGTATGTCCTGAACCACCTCATCCTGTCCGAGAAGGGGCCCCACTGGCGGAACTCCCAGGAAAAATCCAGCCCCCTCATCCATTTCCCCCAATTCTTGGAACTGAAGGAGGTTAAATTTTGGACCATCCCCCACCCCCCCCATGCCATTCTCAACCCAAACCCCCATTCCGGATGAACCTTCTCCCGGGCCCACATTGGCCCCTTTTTCCCCACCCCCTTCCCCGATTACACAAACGGAAAAATACTGGTCCAAGTCCATTCTCCCCAAAAAAACTCCCC